TTCTGCTCATACAGGCACCCCCTGTCTTTGCCATGGAGATTCTGCAGATCTCTCCATTTAGTATCGTTCAGCCCTCCTTTGGAAATATTGTAATCTGAGTGTCTCACTGTGCGTCCTTGACAAACAAGGGGATGCGGTTCTGGGTCCCAGAGTTCTGGGAGCTGGCTGAGACCCCAGCTGCATCCTTTTTAGATGTGTGTCCTGTTCCCTTGGGCCACAGTTTCCTGACGTGTGTCTTAGGGGTTCCTAATGTGGAGCAGGGTGATGTGAGAAAGAGATAAATAGAAAATGTTGCTTCCATTGTGCCTGTGGTGGCGTGTGACACCCGGGGGACCTGAGGGCGAGGACATGAAGGCAAATCATTTTTTGCATGGGCAAAGGGAGAGAGGGGCTGACTCTGTAGTGCTTTTCTGTTGAGGTAGGGGGTGGGGCATGCCCTTGGATTTCTAGTCTACACAACAAGAAAAGAACCAAATTAAAACAGGACTTTGGGGGAAATCAGAGATGCATGGAATCTTCAAGTTTGCTTGAGGGCATCCATGACTGAGTCCTGAGTCAAGCTGAGAGTAGACCCAAGTCACAGAAGCTGAGACCAAAGTGACCAAGGAAAGTCGTGTGCCACTCTTGAGAGCCTGGGATAACTCCACACACAATTGTGGGTCCCCTCTAGTCTGCACACCCACACCCCAGAATGTTGAATCATATATATGCTACTTTCAAGAAAGAAAGAGTTCAGTGAGTTTGGGACAGAAATATTTACGTATAATTAATAATTTGTCTGTTTTGTAAGCTCAAAAACTTTAGAAGTCCTATTACTTTAAAAACACTTTAAAAGAATCAAAAGCCCTGCTTATCTTTTTTACCTTTTGACTTTGCTGTGTTCCTGTGGGTTAAGCATTTATTATTTATCTCTATGTCTCTGCGTATTTGACTTTTCATCCATGGGGTGTTTAGCACACTTCTCTCGGGAAACACGTAGGCTTTGCTCTTCCTGTCTGAGTTTGGCTGTGCTCCCTCACGGTCCTACATCAGCATGTACAGCCTTTAATCTGCCTGCTCGATGGGTTAGATAACTTCTGAGACATGGCTGCCGCTGTCTGTTGGAAACTGGCATACACACGTGTGGTGCCTCACAATGGTGGTGCCACTCTTTATTGATTTCTAACGGTTAGAGGTAAGAATCCCACTGCTACCGCCCCAGACTGGTGACATGAAGGAGGGAGGCAGGAGAGAGAGCTATGCCCCACCACCTCTTTCCTCACACCCAGGGCACTCTGACAGGTCATTTTTGGGTGCACATGTCCAGAGGGAGGCTACATTAATGTTTTGAAATTTGGGCCACGGGGTTGACCCAAGATGGAGACCTTTGGTTGGTTTTTGGAAAGTTAACTGAGTGACTGTGCGGATTGGAGAGACGTCACCTGTCTTGAACACCACTCCTTTCTCCGATGTGTGCCATATTCCCTTGAGACTAAGCAGCTATCATCTAGTGCAGCTATGAGCTGTGCTGTTCAGAGGGCTTGCCATGGCTTCTGGACTCTGGAATGCAGACGAGATATTTCAGTTTCCCATCCATGCTTTCTTCCCAAGTCATGTCACCATCCTTGGTTATGAAGGAAAGGCAAATTGCACACACATGTGCTTCACGGTCTACACAATGTATGCCAAGGGAACGACAGATCACATAGCAGCGTTATCAAGTGATACTGTGTGAGAAGAGCAACATTAGAGCACTTCTGACGCTGTGGAAGGCTGGCAGCTGACTTCCCGAGAAAGTGAGGGAGAGGAGGTGAGGCAACAGCAGAGGGAACCCTTATCTGTTCTCATTTAACTCTGTTGCTATGATAAAAAAAAACTCCCTGTCCAAAAGCAATGTGGGGACAGAAAGAGTTTATTTAGTCAATACTTCCTGGTTATAGCCCGTTATTGCAGGGACGTAAGTGAACATCTGTAGGATTTACTACACCCTGGTTTAGTGTTTGCACAGTAACATAATCCCCTTGTTCCAGGACTGGGTGCAGAGGTATCTGGGTAGGAGGAAAATTTGGTTTAACAAAGGCTAGCTTTGGGTGAGGGATTCCTTCCTTCAGCATGTCTTTGTTTCAATGTGGCAAATGGGGGGGTGCTGTTCTGATACAGTTTCTTTTGTTTATAGACACTCTACTTGCTTGTTAATCTCTGAGCAAACTACATTAGCTCAGGGAAGTGCTGTTACCATGCCAGCCTCTCCAGGAGACCCTCAAGCTCCTGATCTAGTCAATTGCTCTCTTCCACTCAATCTGTCCACCTCTCCATTCATCCCTCATGACCACAGGTGATTGGTTGGATCAATGATGTTTAACAAGGTGTACACTTTGCCCCGGGACAATTAAGTTAAAATAACACTCACTTATTCTTGTGATGACAATTCTTTCACTATACCACGAGGATTTATAACATCTTGCCTTTCATTAGTCTCATGTCCTTATCAATTTCTTAAATGTATTTTTATAATCGACTTAACTCTTAATACATTGAAGTAAAAAAATTATCTCCCCTCCAAGTAATACTCATCAAAGTGCCCAGAGTATCATAATTACCAATGTTCAGGGCCCTGCTTTTGTTCAAATATCTGTTGTTGTAAAGGCAAAAAGCCAAAATAAATGAATGTAAGCTTACAAAGAAAAGATGGAGTAGAATTCTGTCCCCCAAATTTTTAGAAGCACTCAGATATTTTAACAATTTATTTAAGAAGTACAAAGATTGAAAAAAATCATTTGCTAAATATTCATTTTCAATTAGGCTTTTAAGTGGAGCGTCTCTTTCACACCGTTTTTAGTGAGCCGAATTACTTTGGTTAAATTGCTTTCAGCCTAATCAGATGCGATTCCATAATACGGAGCCTCCTGTAACTATGAGCAATTAATTGAAGCAGCCTTGAAGGTTCTCTTTCATTAGAGAGATTGTCTTCAGGGATCAGTCATTTTTATAGAGTGAGAAAACCAGAATACAGAATATTTTCCAACTGTCAGTTGTCGGGACATCCCTCTTTTCTGTTGCCTGTTTAAGAAGGCTTACTTGGGTTGGGAGTATGGCTTAGTGATAGAAAGACAGACTATCACGCATGAGCTTGATAAACATGAGAGGGAGAGAGAGGGGGGGAGGGAGACAGAGAGAGACAGAGAGGATATGACACTGACTGCTCAGAGGGTTATTGACGGTAAATCTCATTTCCAGCATTAGGAGCTTATGTGGGAAGAGTGGGAAGGCTGAGAGAGAGAGAGAGAGAGAGAGAGAGAGAGAGAGAGAGAGAGAGAGAGAGCACTTGTTTAAGCTCTTTGTGAGCAGTAATGCACTTTGAAAATGGTCTCTCACACAATTTTACTATTACAAGAAACACTTTCTCTGTTAACCACAAGTTCAAAGCTTCATGGGACCATATTCTCCCCATTGAAAAGTTTGCGTAAGTCTCAGGTGCCTTAATTTATGAAGGGGAATGATTAATACGGTGAGAAAACTGGGCTTCAGCCCCATCCTGCTTCTTGAGATTGAGCACAAAAGGCCACCCAGTTTCTGCCTGGTTGCCACTAGGTGGGGACAGTGGCAGCGACTGCTTCTGCGTGGAGCAGCTAAGAATAGAAAGCTTTTCTCAGATATAGGGAGGACCACAATCTGGGATGCTTCTGCTAATTGTAGGCTGCCTCTTTCAAAGAGGAATGGCATTTAGTTACAGGGAACTGTTACCCCCTTGTTACCCGCTCCACCTTGGGGTAGCCCATGGCCAGGTGCCCATATCTTCTCCACTGTGTGGCGTTCATCCTTGCAGAGGACAGCTGCAGAGGACAGCCATGCTGAGGTGGTGAGAGAGGGCAGGGCAGAAGACACAGTGAGAGTGGGGGCCATCTTGGAAAACAGTAAAAGGTAGAAAGGGGAGCTCAGTGCTTTATCTTTATCCCGAAGACAGGAGAGCTGATGGCTAACACCCCAAGGCGCATCTTAACACTGTGGGAAAAGCGTTGAAGGGAAAAGGCAAATGAAGCCTTGGAAGGCACTAAGGAACCTGACACTTTTGATGAGAATTGTAGAGACACCAACTGGCTTAACCTTGCTTTTGTGTGTTATTTGTGCCCTGCCCCGTGTGTGTGTGTGTGTGTGTGTGTGTGTGTGTGTGTGTGTGTGTGTGTGAGTGTGCACATGTGTGCACATGAGTACATACACATATATGTGAGTGGGTAGCCAGGATGCCAGAAGCAGAAGTTAGATCACCTGGGACTTCAGTCACAAGCAGTTGTGAGCTCCCTGACCTGGTGCTGCAACCCAAACATATAAGATCACACAGATCTTCAGGCACTTGTGGCTGAATGGATTGGAAGATTCAAGATTTACCTGTTCAAGGTGAGTTTGAAGAAGTCCACCATGCTCAGCTGAGAGGTAAAAGCATGGCTCTCAGAGCCTCCTGTGGACCAGAGAACAAGGTGCAGCCTTGTGTTGTGGGTATACAACAAGGAAAAACACCTGTATTTTACTGACTGTTATTTTGGGGGTAATTTTTTTTGAGTCTTCTAAAAGCGACACAATCAAGTTTTTACTCCAGTCCCCTGGAATGCAATCTTATTTGACAATTTAGAGATGGGTGTTTATTGAAGCAATCAGATCATCCTGACGTCACCAGTTTGACAGACGACCCCAGGAAAGGACAGGTCTTGATCATGGCTCACACAGGGAGAAGTACCTGCAAGCATGGAGATCTACTCCATAGAGAAGGTTCAAGGCATGGGGCAGTCCTTGCCTGCAGACCCTTAGAAGAGGCTGGGGCATGTTGACCTGACTGAGCCCCCTGGCCTCTTTAACTGTTAGATTGTAATTCTCTTTTGTTCAGTCATCCAGTTCTTAAGGCTTTTAAAGCAGCCCTTGCAAACTAATGAGGCTCAACAAGGCTGATTCCTAAAACAGGTGTGGTGGTTTGAAAGGAAATGGCCCCTAAAGGGAGTGGCGCTATCAGGAGGTGTGGCTGTGTTCGAATAGGTGACGTCTTGTTGGAGGAAGCGTGTCACTGTCGTGGCTGGCCTTGAGGTTTCTTTCACTCAAGCTTCCCTCAGTGTGACACTGAGACCACTTCCTGCTGACTCATGATCAAGATGTAGCCAGCACCATGTCTGCCTGCGTGCCGCCGTACTCCCTGCCCTGATGATAAAGGGATGCACCTCTGAACGGTAAGGTAAGTGAGCCACTTCAATGAAATGTTTTCCATTATAAGAGTTGCCATGGATATGGTGTCTCTTCACAGCAATAGAAACTCTAAGGCAAGGGGTTTGTCTGAAATATTTCAAATGGGAAGGATCCAACACGGGAAACAAAAGCTATGGGACTCATAGGACCTCCAGGGAGTATCCACACAGAAGAAACATGGCTGAAGTCTTGGGAAGACAATCTGAGGCTGGCAGGAAGCTAGGGCCGCTGATCTATGATACAGATTAGCAGCAGATCCCGCTGGCTGGTGAAACTCACATGTGGGCCTACTCTCCACGGGGCTAACCCTCCCTTGTTGCTTCCTCCTGTTCTCAGCGTGTGGACCCAGGTGAAAGCCCTGCAGGAAGTGTAGTTTCTAGACCCCCATGCCCCATTCATATAAGGAAGACACTCAAATCAGGGATATTCCTGTGAACAAAACACAATATCCAACAAGTTGCTATTACTCACAGCTAAGACCACCATGCCTAGTGCGCATTCTTATACCCATGCACAAACAGGCGTGCCCATCCTCACCCATGCACAAACAGGCGTGACCATCCTCACCCATGCACAAACAGGCGTGACCATCCTCACCACGTGTCCTTTTGGCAGGGTTTACTAAGCATGGCTACTAAGTTGTTATGGATCGAATGTGAAAGTCTACATAGGCTTCCATGTTTGAACAATTGGTTCTCAGATGATGACACTGTTTTGGGAGACTGTGGGATCTTTGGGCCATAGGGTGTCACTAGCAGTTGGGGACTGGGGCCAGCCTGGGTACTGCAGCAGAGTCCTCCTTCTGGTTTTATTTCCCCGCTCTCAGTTCTAACAAGATGTGAAGAGGCATTGCCCCACACTCCTCAACTACAGGCTGAACCTCTCCAGCCACCACAACTTCCTGACCTCGATGGACAACTCCCTCTGAACTGTGGGTGTGAACAGCCATTCTTCTAAGCTGCCTCTGTGAGGTATTTTGTCACAGTGAGGCAAATGTCACTAGTCAATTGCAGTGAGTTTATGGTAGAGCTGAGTCTTACCGGTATGGCTTGAAGATTGACATAGGTGCTTTATGCAGGCTAATAAGACTGTAAAATGGGACCGATGACAAAGGGGACCATTGAAAATTATGAGAGTTCAGCACCAGAATGCGTGCAGTTGACTTCCTCTCCACCAACCCTCGGCTTGGCATCCTTCAGACATCTGCCAAATGTTCATCTCTCCAAAGCCGTGATGCAAAATGAAGTATCTATGCATTTGTTAACTCTTGTGAGCTCAAGGTCAGAAATCTATAATGTTTTCTTCCAGTCTCACCACAACAAACACATGGTTGGGACTCGCTAAATATTGCTGCCAAAGTTATTCTTGTCACATGATGTCTATAATTTTAAAGGACTCCAAGAGTCATTTCTTGAGGTTAAAACTCCTGCTGTCCACCTGAACATTCGGTCATCTTTTCAATTCTGTGTGCAAAGAGGCTTACAGGACAGCGTGGTGAGACTTCACAGGAGGGCTGGAAGGAGGGAGCCTCACACAAAGGATGGTGTGAGTCGGCCTGGAGAGGACAAGGGCGCTCTCTGCGTGCTGCGTCCGCTCTCTGCGTGCTGCGTCCACTCTCTGCATGCTGAGTCCTTGCTGGCACACTGCAGCTTGAACAAACTTTGAACGGGAACATAGCTCATTAAGTAACTTGCACTTTCAAGACTACCCAGACCTCACAGCTGCGGGTGGTGTGTCAGGGTGAGAGGAAGCACTGCAGGAGTCCCGGAGGGCAGGCAGAGCACATCCGGGTCAAATACGAGCCACTGGCTCAGAAGCAGCAGCCAATAGAGGCACGTAACCCATAGGGTGGACGTAACTGTTGGCAGACGGGTAGACCTTCAGCTGCAGCCTATACTGAAAACGAAGAGCGTGTCTGTGGGTGTGGCTTCTTTGGCTCATGCTGCAGTGTGTGATCCCTTGACCATGGAAGGCTCTGTGTACCCATGAGGACCTAGGGCGGCAAGCAGGCATCATGCCCACCTGAAGCCTTGTATCTCTGCATCACATGTGGTGTCTTCCCTGGATCCATAGACAGCGCAGTTGAAAAAGACCTGACTTCATACCTCAGCTGTCACTTTTGTCCCTCCAGAACCGTGGCCATCTCTTGTGATTGGTTCAGAAAGCTCCTGTCACCTCAAAAACTGGCTAACACATCAGCGAACATACATGCCTGGCTATCTTAGCCACGAGGGTCACCAAACTTGAGCAGAAGCGGTTTTAACCCTTCAGGAGCACCAGGCCAAGTGGAGAAGATGGGGGGATGTGTGAGGAGAAGGAAGCAGGGACTTCACACCATCCACTAAACTTGGTTGTGAAAGAAGGAGAGGAGGCAGAGGCCATGAACTCCTTCCTTCCCATCTGATCGATTGAAATGCCTTCTGCATCCTGTTAGATGATGGCTCTTTATAGAGCTGCTACTACATCCTTTTAGATGGATGGCTCTTTATAGATGGATGGATGGATGACATTTTATAAAGCTCCCTGCATTCCAATGAATAGATGGTACTTTATGAAGCTCTTTGCATCACGATGGATGACTCTTTATTTTAATGCTCTGCTATTTAACACACTGATTGCAGGATTAAGTGTGAAATGCTAATAACATTGAGTGTACCTCATTGGTTTTTAATTAATTAATCACTTACTCCATAGCCACCAGTAATCCTAAGCTATACAGAGCAGTACTGAAAATTGAATTAGGATTTGGTCTTACACAAAGTCAACACTTTTTGTTTGTTTGGTTTTGGCTTTTTTGAGACAGGATCTTACAATGTAGCCCTGTCTTGTCTCATACTCACGATGTAGCCTATGCTGACCTCACACTCACTGTAATCCTTCTGCCTCAGCCTCCTAAGAGTTGCAATTACAGGTGTGTACCACTAGGCTCAGCTGAAGTCAAACTTCTGAAGTAACTCAATAGGCTTTATTTTTTGTATTCTTTTTAGTAACCTACTTATTTGTTTAGTGTTGGGGAAAGAGGCTGCTCACCCAACAGTGCATACGCGTGGCAGTCAGATGACAGCACATGGGTGTCAATTTTCCCTTCCCACCACGTGGGACCCTGGGATAGAACTCAAGTGGGGTTCTCACATGTTCTGTATTATGTGTGGCTATCAACAACGCTGTCCCTTTTTGTTTTGTTTTGTTTTGTTTTGTTTAATCTAGTGTGCTTTTTCTGTCCCACGAGCCTGTCCAGGACATACTTGTCACACGTCAAATCGTGCTGCTGTAACAGGACCACAGGCAGCATGATCCACAATGAGCAGATGGGTATTTGTTCACAGTTAAGACTGAGAGGACACAGCTGCTGGAGACTTCTCCTGGGTCCTTGCATGACAGAAGACACCAAGTGACCAGGAAGCACCAGTAAGGAGGAGAGGATGGACTCACCTTTTCACCAGAAATCTACCCCATTCGGACACACTAGCATGAGCCCATTCAGGAGAGCAGAGTCTCTTGACATAATCTCTTAAAGTGGAATACAGTCAGCCTTAGCATATCACACATGACCATCCCATCTCCTCGAGTGTTTCTTGGTGAGGTTCTCAGGTTTCACTGTGCGTCAGGACCCTGAAAGCTTTGAGGAGTGGCCTACGTGTTTCATAGTATGGACCTACTAGACTTTGATGTTCTCATGAGGTAGGTAAAGTTACCAACCACTCTTGAATTGCATCCAGACTTCATAGAAACAGTATGACTTATGATGATCAAGGAAGCTATGATGGGATATGCTCAGGCCTGTGACAGCACAGAGCCCTTCTTGGAGGGTAGGGAATTTTCTTATTTACTTGGAATTCTTCCACATGGTATATTGATCTCTTCTCCAATATTTGATAATGTATTTAGATCGTATGGACTAGCACATATTTGGGTTATAACACTCTATTTCTTGTGTATGTTTGTGCCCATGTGCATTCATGTGTTGTGTTGTATCATCCATCTAGTTTTTCTGGGGCTGGTTCTCATTATCGGTCTTACTTTTCCGGCTAGGGTGGATGGCCAGTGATCCCAAGAGATCCACCCATTCCCCACCTCCACAGCACTGGGACTAAAAGTGCCTGTCACCATGTCTGGCTTTTTAACCTGGGTTTGAGGGATCGAGTTCAGGTTCCCATACTGTGGAGCAAGCACTCTACTGAGACATCTCCCGAGCCCTTGTGAATTTCTGTTGTTTCTATTCCTACACTGTCGGTCATTGGTAGCTCTCCTGGTATGCATCCATTGAGGAGATTTTTTTCTCAGTTTTTGACACTTTCTGTTTTACACACACACATACACACACACACACACACACAGAGAGAGAGAGAGAGAGAGAGAGAGAGAGAGAGAGAGACTCTTTAATGTCTGATGACTTACTGTATATGATGGGTTCTCTAATATCCTTTCTCACCTTTTATACTTGGATGCTGCCTGCACTGAGTTGTGTATCAGCCTGGTCTGGACTCCACCGGCCCCCCCCCCACACACAGGTGCCACCTTATGAAGGAACTGATACATTGAATGCTATTTCCACATCTGAATATGAACCACACAAAGCCATCCATATTTAATTTGTCTCATATAATATTTGTGTTTAAAATTCTACTGGTCAGGATCATCTACTTGACTTTCTCATTGGTTCTGTTTTATTTCTATGTGTATTTCGTAGATTCTGGAGTTATTCTGTATTTTTTTAGGTGAGTATCACATGTAGAGCATGCAGTTGGCTCTTTGTGAGACAAATTGAAAATACTGGTTTGACTGATATCACTGATCTCAGCTTGGTCATATTATATTGCTGTATGTCCCACTATGAAATACTGTTGCAAGAATAGTACTTACATTGTTTTCTTTGCTCTTGGTGATTTACATGGTATTTTAGAGGTTGTGTATAGTGATTTACTCTTAAATGATTGCTAGCTCCCAGTTGTCACAACTATTGCCTTTTAATATCTTTCTATCCATGCTCTAAGAAATAAGCAAAGTACCTTTGCTATATACAAAACGGCTACTACAATTTGTTAGGTTTGTGTAGGAAAATAATTAGTGAGGAATTTGAATGTATCTGACATCTCAAAAAGCCAGTTACAAAGACAAGCTATATTCATACTTCCATAGTTGGTTCTCTTAGTATGAATATGCAAATGTAATAAAATTAAAATCAAACTTCCAAGAGAATTTATTTGGTTTGCAATTGAATGAATGGTTTTAAAATTTGTATGAAATATAAGCCTTGGGGAAAAACAAAGAAATTCTTCTAAAATCTATTTAGCAGATGTCAGCAAACACGCTAAAGCTGCTGGAGTCAACTCAATATGGGGTTGGCACCAAGATAGATAAATAGATTTGTTTAACCAAATAGTAAATCAAATAACATTAACCACACAGAAGTCAGAAACAGGTTTCAGTACCCATGGGATGAAATATTAAACACAAATGGTAGTTAGCTCTTTGGAAAGGACTTCTCTAGCAAATGATGTTGGCCCTCTGCCTTTCCAGTGGCGCAGGGACACTAAGGAATGTACAGGGGGCAACTCTCAGTCTGTCCTCAAAGGTCTCTTTGCATGGGCAGGAAAGAAGTGACAATGGCCATGGGGAAATTTTATTATGCAGTGTGAAATTCTCTATTTGGCAAACAAAGTGCAAATTTGGTCATGGAAAATTGTAGTGTGGTAGTTTGAATGTAACTGGACCCCCGTAATCTCATAGGGAGTGGTATTATTAGGACGTGTGGATTTGTTGGAGTGGGGATGGCCTCGTTGGAGGATGTATGTTTCTGCGAGGGTGGGCTTTGATGTTTCTTATGCTCAGGGTCCCGCCGGTGTCTCAGTAGATTGCCTGGTGCCTGTATATCAAGAGGCAGCCAGCACTGTGTCTGCCTGCACGCTGTCATGATCCTCACCATGATGATAATGGACTGAACCTCTGAAACTGTGAGGGAGCCACACCAATAAATATCTTCTTTATAAGAGTTGCCATGGTCATAGTGTCTATTTACAGCAATAGAAATCCTAAGACATAGAGGATGCCTTTTTTGTCCCATTAAACAGAAGAAAGATAACCATGTGTATGTTTTAGAAAAAAAACATTAGCCAGATATGAAGTATTTGTTGGAGAAAATTAATTGTTGAAGGTAGGGATGTTGAGGCAGTGAGGGAAAGCCCAGGAGCCTTCAGACAGGAGAAGGGTCCCAGTCACTCAGCTTAATTTCTCTCTTGACCCAGAGCCTTTCTTCTCCCTAGCCATGCTCCATCTTTCTTCTGTTCTCTGCCCTAGCTCTCTTCCATTTTTGGGAATCAACTCCCATTGCATACACCATCCACTTCTGATGATTTCCAGTGTATGCACAGCGGGGGTCAGCTGGGTGAGGCTGAAGTTTGAGGTTCAAACCCCACTTCAGGTAGAAAGAGGCGGCAGCTGACGGGGCTGCGTTGCATCTGCAGGGGGACTTGGGTTGCCAGGTGAGGGGCGGCTGAGACACACAGTGGTGTCAACTGAATGTCTGGCTTGAGAAAAGACCAGCTTAGGCTTGAAGTCCATTCAAACTGTGGAACACACAAGGTGTCAGAGCAGAGAAATCTTTAAGCAAGAGTGGACATTCCTCCTTGAATCCCAAGACACTTTCTGCCTCCTGTTCGGATGGTTCCCTCATGACTGTGGAGACGGAGGTCACAACTCTCAGCACTCTGTTGCTGATATCTCTATTGATTGATGTGATTAAATGTGCCATTAAAAAAATTATTTAAATTAAAAAGAATCTCATTTTACATACCAATCCCAGTTCCCTCTCCCTCCTGTCCTCCCATGCCCCCTCGCCAACCCCCCACTTTGCACCCCATCCACTCCCCAGGGAGGGTGAGATCATCAAAGTCTGTCACACTATTTGGGGCGGGGCCTAGGTCCACCCCCATGTATCTAGGCTAAGACAATATCCCTCCATCAAGAATGGGTTCCCAAAGCCCATTTGTGCACTAGGGATAAATACGTGCCATTCTCACAGTTGTTTCATCAAGTTTTTTTTTTTGAGGGGGCCTGCTTATACAGGGTCTCTCTGTGTAGTCATGACTGTCCTGGAACTTAGTTTGTAGACTAGACTGTCCTTGAACTCATGGAGATCCACCTGCCTCTACTTTCCAAGTGCTAGGATTAAAGCCCAAGCCCTCAGTACCTCCCTGACTAGTCAAGTATCTTAACAGTAGGGTTTACTCTCCTTTTATTTTCAAATCATTTTGGATCAAATAATTTTACCAGAGTCAAACAGCTTAGATAAAAATATCTATAATTTTATTTTTACATTTTATTTTGTGTGTTTTTCTTGCATATGGTGGTTTGAAAGAAAATGACCCCCCAGGAGAAGTGGCACTATTAGGAGTTGCGACTTTGTCAGCACAGTTAGGGCCTTGTTGAGGGAAGTGTGTCACTGTGGGAATGGGCTTTGAGGTCTCCTATGCTCAAGCAACTCCCAGTGTCATAGTCTACTTCCTGTTGGCTGTATATCAAGGTGTAGCCAGGACCATGACTCCTGGCATACCACCATGCTCTCTGACATGACAATAATGGACTGGACGTCTGAAAATATAAGCTAGTTACTGTTGTTTAAATGTAATTGGCCCCCATAATCACAGGGAGTGGCACTATTAATAGGTGTGGCCTTGTTGGAGGAGGTATGTCACCATGGGGGCGAGCTTTGAGGTTTCCTATGCTCAGAATACTGCTCAGTTGACTTCCTGTTGCCTGTGGGATGCAGGACTCTTAGCTTTTCCCTGCACCACATCTGCGGGCACACCACCATGCATCATCATGACTGAATCTGTGAAACTGTAAGCTGTCACCTCAATTAAATGCTTTCTTTATAAGAGTTGTCTCTTCACAGAATGGAAACCCTAAGACACCTGCATGGGTGTATGTAGACCATGGGCATACCTGATGCCCACAGAACTGTAGTTATTATAGACAGTTGTGAGCTGCCGTGTCAATGCTGGGAACCAAGGTCCTCTGCAAGAGTAGCCAGTGCTCTTGCCGGCTGATCTCTACAGTCCCTAGGTTTGTAAATTTATTGAGGAGTTGGGTATTCTGAAGATGATCTACTCCTTACATCATAGATCACCCCCAAATAGGCTCAACTACCTAGTTTAAGCAAAAAAAAGTGGTATTTGGAAAATCTTAATTTTACCTTTAATACACATTTACTTTTGTGCTTATAAGCTTCATTTATTTGAATGATTTAGTCAACGACTTTGATGTGAGCCTTGACTCTGAAGACAGGCGAGTGCAGTGGTTTTCTGGCATTTTTCCTTAAGCCCTTAGTGACTGGACCTCGAATACAAAAGTCATCACATAGCCATTTAGGAGAAGCTGTTGGAGTATCTGACCCTGAGGAACATTTATAAAAAGGATGGCTCCAGACATTAAGTAAGAGTGAATTAAATACAAGTCAAGTGAGAGAGTCTATGCCTCACACATGCTGTCACATCTAATGAGTTTAGACAGTAGTATTTACACATCACAGTTTAGATGAAGTTTGAGGTGAGGATGGCATTGGACCCAAGGAAAACCCGATGGTGGGGCTTGAGAATCAAGATAAAGAAAGGGAGAGCTATGAACTATTGCTGCATTCCCAGAGCTCTGTAAATAGATGCTATTTCTCTGCAAGGTCCTGTAAAAACCTAAGTTCTGACTGTAGTCACTAAGTCAGGTACCAAGAGGGGAAGGGGGGTTTGCATGGGACAGCAACGGGAGCTCACAGAAAGATTAGAGCAATCAAAACATGAAAACAGACATCATGACATGAGAAATGAAACAATGCCAACTCTTGGTGCTTTGCTTTGTCTTTTTCCTCCTCCTTATCCCTCGCTCCACCCTCTGTTTGGGAGCATTTCTCCATGTGGCCCAGAGTCAGCTGGGCCTTGAGATCACCTCCACCCCCACCTCCCCATTACTGCTGGCATCACAGCCATTCCCACCACCCCTGACTGAAATAAACCATTTTGATAAAACAGCTTTGAACATCAGTGCTTAATGTTGCCACCCTAATTCTTGCAATGGCAGTGTTGATAATACCCATCACCCACCTGGCTCTGTGCATGCCCAGAAGTCACCATGGACTCCTAAAATGTAGTCAAAGGAGAGGGCATGAAGACCAAGTTCATTCTTCCACATGCAGGCATCTAACTGTCACTGCTGAAGGGACAGACTGAGGTCACAGAGGGTTCCCTGCTCCGCATCTATCTTCCCTGAGTGTAATGACAGGCACTGTGATTGGTTGCCCAGGGAAATTCTGCTGTTTTCTTCTTATAGATTTTGGCATGGTTCTGCCAGGCAGTAACATACGACCTAGTGTCTTTGCTTTTCTTCAGCCCTTCCTCTTATCCTTTGGGGATATAATTCTTTAAAAGCCCAGGCTTCTTTCTGCCAAATTTCAAGGACTCCGGAGTTCTGTGCCATTGTACTTCTGGAATTTGTTAGGTTGAAGACAAAACTCAGTCTTTGTTGAATGCATCTCTTTGTGCAGCTGTTGTAACTACATGAGGAATGTATTTAACCTTCCCACTAGTGAGTCCAAGAGGTCGCTCAGCTGAGCAATGCTTCTAATGTTCAGAGTGATGAACGCACATCCTCACAGGTCCGTGGTGGCAAAGAAGACAAATGGTGGGAAGCAGGTGACATATTTTTGAAATTATACATAGAGGAAATAGCATAGTTTTTAAAAAATGTCCTGTCATTGGGACAAGGTAGTTGAAATATCACCGAGTTGAAGTCTGTGCAGAAAGGAAAATCAGGAGACGAATGCGGTGCCCTCTCCATCAATATGGTATTGACTGAGAAACTATTGACACAGCCCTTGGGTGAAAAATGTAAGCCAGGCTGATACATACACTAGGATGCATACTGTTTGCTTTGTTATAGTGGTTCCTGCTTGGATAAGACATCAGCTATCATTTAAAGATATATTTCTATACATGTATGTGTCTGTATACGTGTGTTGGAGTGCGCAAGCCATGGTGCATGTGTGGAGGCTGGAGGAGAACTTGTGGGACTCAGTTCTCTCTTTTTACCATGTAGGTGTCCGGGATTTTACTCAGGGGAGCCCAGGAATTGAACTCCTGTCATTAGGTCTTGGGGCAATAGAATCCATCCATTAAGCCAAGTCGAGCATACAATAGTTTCTTTCTGAAAGCATCTGATCCTCATCCCAGCAGCAATCATCTGAGAGCTTGTAAGTCACATGACAGAGGCCAGCACTTCGCAATGGAAACACATGCACCCTCTCAGGGAACACTGTCTTGGGGTCACCAGGCTCTAGCTCTACAGAACTAACCTGGCTAATCTTTTGTTAACCTTCCCTGGAGCTTGCGAATGACTGGTGGCCAGGATCCAATCCTGCAGGACCAATCGCCTCCCTCAAGTTGGTGCTGTGTTCTTCCTCAAATGGGAGCAGAAGAGACAACTGGTGGGGACTTCTTACCCCAGGAAGGATGATGGCCCCGTGTTGATGTTTAACAGGGCTGAGTCATAAGATGGCCATAGTGGTGACCCCACACACCATCTTTAGCCATTTAACAACACTCATAGCTTGGGGCTCTTTGTAGCGATGGGCTCTCTTGGGTCTCCCCATTTGGAAAGGATGCTGTTGGTCACCAGAGTTGTCTGTGTCACACAGTCAGGCTCCACATGGGAGACTGGAGTTTGAGTCTTCCCTCCTCCTCCTGCAGACTGTCTACAGCGTGTTCTCTGTTCAACAGTCAGCACGAACCTGATGGAACAAACATTGTCCTAAACTATAAAAACAGTCCCGACTCAGGACAAAAGCTTGAATCCTGCAGGTGAGCTCAGGTGAAGAGGGGGAGAGTCTAGGGGAGGTTGGGAGCTGGAGTCACTGTGCCTCACGGTGGAAGAACCATGAGGTGAGAGCACAGAGGTGAGACTTGGCCAGTTCTTTGCAGACATGAATTTCTGAGGCTAGTTTGATTC